TCAAGGCTAGTGCTTGACCACTTTGAGCCACAGCTACACTTCCAGTTTTCTGGTGGCTAATTGAAGTGTCATGTCCTTTCCTGCCAAGGCTGGCTTCGAATTGTGATCTTCAGATCTCAGCCTCCTGAGTAGCTATGATTACAGTCATGAACCACCAGCACCTGACTCTGACTTTTAAGTAGTAAGGAACTCAATTTCCTCTTTCCTCTTTTCCATGAACTATTGACTAAACTTGAGTTTGTGTAATCCCAAAATATGTTGTACCATAGCCTGGACCCTCACCTACAATGTGCATTATTTATTTATTGGTTTCTTATTTTAGGCATTGTCTAATTATGTATCTCAGGCTAAAAGGCCAAGCTGCCCTCAAACTCATGACCCTCTTGCTTTAGCCTCTCAAGTGCTGAGGTTATAGGTATGTACCACCACCAGTGTGTGCAGATCCAAAGCCAGCCCTTGAAACGCTGCCTTTTCTATTCTATGCAAACTATCTGTTATTACATTGCTTAAAAGCCAGAGTTAGTGGGGAGTTCATTTCTGGGTGATTTCTTGTACCCTGTCTACATCATGACTGACTCACAAATGAGGAGGCTGCCTAGACTAACTGAACAAAGTCAGCCAGCTAAATATGCATTTAGCTCACACCATCTAACTTCATGCTCAATGGCAAGACAATTGGGAATAGAGTCGACATTTCACATGTAGCCTATCTCGCATCCTTCACCTTGCCCCACCTCACACTTTACTGCCTGACCTGTACTGATCATCCGAGTCTCTGGCTCTTGGACGCATTACCTATTTATAGAAGTTGCTGCCCATTCTGACACTCAATCTGCTCTCTGGCCCTGAGCCTGGCTTCCCTCCTCACCTGTAATTTGCACTTACTCTTTGATGATACTGCTTCTGTCTCTCAGCCATGCATCCTTGACACAGACTTCCACAGAACAACAAATATCTATATAATCATTCACTGGATTCAAAAACTGATTAGTAAAAGGGTGAAACGTTTGCTCCAAGCAATCAAGAAAGCAAATGCAACCTCAAATATTGAGTGTGCCAGGGGAAAGAACTGAACACTTAGAAGAGGAGCTCTCAGCTATATACAGAGTTAAATTTTTAAGAAGAAGGCTTGGCTGGTCTATGTGGCTCTGAGTTCTGAGACTGGAGAATGATGAAGGGGATTCTGAGGTTCTCGAGATTATGAGATGATGCTGAATCTACAAGTGTTGAGGAAAATGCAAGGTGGCTTTAGGTGCTGCTAAATTGATATGAAGTATGACTGCTGGTCACTCGACGTGGGAAGGTTAGAGAAGATGCCCTGAATAGATGACATTTTGATACCAAACTGATTGACAAAAGATTCAGCTCTGTAAAACTAACCATGAAGAAATCAAAGAACAATGCACACTGATGGGCTTCAGCATTTGGGAGCTCCGTTCACTTTCCCTTCCTCCCCTCCTCTCTCCCTCCCTTCCTTCCATTTCTTTAAAAGGTACTGGGTTTATACTCATGCTCACTTTGCTTCCTTGCTTATATTGCTAGGTAGGCACACCGGCAAGCCTACCTTAGTGCTGGGTGTTCTGGAAATGAAGTCCTGTGGATTATTCTACCATGAATAGTTTGGGACCATGTTCTTCCTGAATAGTTAGGATTACAGGCATGAGCCAGTGGCACTCAACTGAAACTATCTTCAGATATTGAAAGCCAGAGAAAGTGCTGGAAAACTCCTTACTACAGGCCTTTCTTTGGATATTTTAATAATTCTGTTAAGGCAATATATTCATATACTTTTATTTCTTGGATATTTTTACCAAATACCTGTGTAAAGAGTAAAGATAAGGTATTAATGCTTAATGTAGAATTTTGTAATTTTCATCTCATTCTTATAGGCACCTCCTAGAACACCTCAAATTAGCAAACATGTAAATAATTCTTTTAAAATTCTTTATAAATCCATAGGGAGTTACAAAAAATTCTTTTGCTTTGGAGGTCTACAATGCTAGTGATTTAAAGTATTGTAATGCAAATATCAAAACCAGGAAATAAAGGCATCGGTATCATCCTTGGAACTTAGATTTCAAAGTCTCACATCTTGGAATGCGTCATTTTATGTAATTCTATGTAACTATTATTGCAATCAAGATTCTCTAGTATACCATAAAGAAAAGATTCTGCCCTGCTACTCACTTATTGCCACACCCACTTACTCTGTTCTAGCCTAACCTTGGACAATCACTAACCTCTTCCCCATTTCTGTAATTAAAAAAAATGTTTTAACTGGGTGTGGTGGCTCATGTCTATAATCTCAGCTACTCAGGAATTATAGTCTGAGACTGACCTGGGAAAATAGTCAAGATCCTTTCTGAAAAACAATTAAAGGCCAAAAAAGGTCTGGAGGCATGGTTCAACTGGTAGTGGCTAGCAAGCAAAAGACCTTGAAGTTCAAATGCTAGTGCTGCCAAAATAATGGTAATAATTTGTGGTGTTAAGGATCAAACCCTGGACCTTGCTTATGCTTGCTAGGGAACATTGAGCCTCAAACACGCCCTATTTCAAGAAAATCTTATAAACAGAAGCTGGATAGAGTGGCAAGTACTTGTAATCCCAGCATTTGTTAGGCTGAGGCAAGAGGATTTCAAATTTGAGGTCCACCTGGACTACAATGAGAACCAGACAAAACCAAAGCAAGAAACCATGCAACTAAAAGAGTATGTTTTATAAATGGGATCATGGTTTTCATGTAACATAATAATGAGATCAATCCAAGTTGTTTCATGTATTGGTAGTAAATTTTTTATTACTAATATTCCACAGAGTACAGATGTATCACAGTTTGTGTAAACATTCTTCAGTGGAAAAAAATTGGGGATAGTTTCAGTTTAGGTTATGAATAAAACTGTTCTGAACATTTTTTTTTGTGAATATAAGTGCTCAGTCCTTTTACAAAGATGTCTAGGAGTATAATTTCTTGTCTACGTGTTTTAATTTTTGCTTGTTCCAAAGTGTTTATTATTTCACGTCTGTATTTTGAATACCTGCCTGATCCAGGTTATCCACAGCATCTTTAAACCATTCTGATGTTTATCAGATTTTCATGTGCTTACTTGCTATTTGCAATACTTTGGAAAGTGTCTGCTTATATTTTGTGTGTGTGTGTGTGTGTGTGTGTACTGAGTCTTGAAATCAGGACCTCATGCTTATGTCTTTTTCCCCCCACATCTGGCCCACTACCACTTGAGCCCTGTCTCCATTTACAGCTTTTTGCTGGCTAATTAGAAATCAGTCTATTGGATTTGTCTTCCTAGGATGGCATTATACTATGAACCTCAGATCTTAGCCTCCTGAGTAGCTAGGATTATAGGCATGAGCTACCAGCACTCTGGACACTAAAGGTAGGTTTCTTTTGTTTGTTTTTTTTTTTAACAGTTTTTTTGTTTTGTTTTGTTGTTTTTGGTCAGTCGTGGGCCTGAACTCTGGGCCTGGGCACTGTCCCTTAGCTCTTCAGCTCAAGGCAAGCGCTCTACCACTTGAGCCACTGCGCCACTTCTGGCTTTTTCTGTTTATGTGGTGCTGAGGAATCGAACCCAGGCCAGGGCCTCATGCATGCAAGGCAAGCACTCTACCACTGAGCCACCTTCCCAGCCCCAGGGTTTTTTTTTTTTTTAATATATATATAGGTATTCTGAGTTCCATATTTGAAGTAGTTATTTTTGCTTGCTTTCTAGGCAAGTGCTCTGCCGTGGGAGCCGCACTTCTAGGCGTTAAGGTAGATTTCTAACGTTGTTAGTCAAATGCAAGAGAAGCAGATGGAGTGGTGGACCCAGTCAAGCAGGATCAGCCCCATTATCTTTTAAGACCAAAAGCGTGACTTGGAAACTTCCTCTGAATCCAAAGTTCCTAATTCCACGCCAAGTTATTTTTTTACATTGTTGTTATTATTTATTATTATTATTATTGGCTAGGCATCTCGCTTGCAAACCTGGAACCTGCTTAGGCATAAACCAGATACGAGAAACAGTAGAAATCCGTCACCGTCGGTTCCATGCCGAGAGGAAAATAACAATCGAAAGGTCATCTCGCCGTCGGGCTCAGCCCGGCCGTCTGGGGGCGCCGGGGCCCCGGTGCTCGGTTCCGTGCAAACCCAGGGCCCCGCGCTCCCCGGCGCAGGGCGGCTCTGCTCCCGGGCGCCGGGGCTCCCGGGCCGCGGCCGGCCGGGGTCGGGGTCGGGGTCGGGGTCAACAACCTCCCAGAAAGCGCGCCACGCGAGGTGGCCCCTCGCCGAGGGACTGAGCCCGGGCTGAGTGCCCCCGGAGGGTTCAGGGACGGTGACCTAGAATCCCTGCCCTTCCGGGTCAGGGTTCATTCTCGGTCAGCGCCCTTCGGCCCCAATTTGCAGGCCCGAGGCCGGAGGCGAGGTCTCCGGCGGGCGGTCAGGGTCCAGACACCCCGGGCTGTAATAATGGGGGGGGACCCCGTGGGACACCCCCTCGAGAAGCAGCTGGAATCGGCCAGCGCCTCCCTCGGCCGCCCGGCCGCCAACCGCCTGGAACTCGGCGGCTGTCACCGGCTCCGGCGGGGCGGGGCGACTCCCGAGGTCGGTTAGCGCCACGCCCCCCGCCGCCTGGAGCTCGCGTGTGGTTGGCCGGACCGTCAGGCTCGCACGTGGGGGCGGGGCCGGACACTTCCGGCAGTTCGTGACACGTGTTTCGTTGCTAGGCGACGGCGAGGAGGCGGAGCCGAGGGGGAGAGGCTCTGGAGGACGGGGGAAGGGGCGGGGGGAAAAAAAAAATCCTCGGGGAGGGCCACGCGCCTGATTGGCGGCCTCGCAGCCGCTCTTTTCTCCTTTTCCGGGAGGCGAGACCAGGTCCGGCCCTGGTCCCGCCTCCCCACGCCGCCAACGGGGTGCGCATGCGTAGTGTGCGCAGCCGCCTCCGCCCTCCCTGGGCTCGTGCTAAGGCGGCGAGTCCAGCCGGCACTGGCGCCGCGGCGGGAGCCGCCTCGGAGCCGGTGAACCGAGCGGCCTCGAGGGAGAGGCGCTCGGAGAAGAGGGAGCGCCGGCGGCGGCCGCTGTCTTCCCTGCGGCCGAGGAAAATGGTCTTCGAGTCGGTGGTCGTGGACGTGCTGAACCGCTTCCTGGGGGACTACGTGGTGGACCTGGACACGTCCCAGCTCTCCCTGGGCATCTGGAAAGGTACGGCGGCCCGGTCCCGGCCCCG